ACCGAGGTGGGCTTGTAGGCCCATAGATCCATGAGCTTGGGCCTGGTGTACATGAGGTTGACATCAAATGAGTTTACTTGGTGTTCACTTCAAGGACTCTTAGTCCTATGAAGAGACTAGGTTGTTTTGTAGGCTTAGTTTAAGGAGGGCTAGGTTGTTCTGGAGTTTTACTCCTAGGACTAAGTCTTCTGGGATAATAAAAAAGACTGAGGCCACCCTTCATCGAAGGTAAGCAATTCTAAGCACTAGAACTTATTGTGCACTTTTGCTCTCAAACACTCGATTGACTTAAGCATCAGAATGCCTTTGGCCGGCTCCACACCGGTGTCACCCACCGTTAGCTTTTTTGTTTTGTAGGTTCTGGAGGATGACTTAGTTGGTCACGTTGACCTAGTGAAGAAGAATTGCCCAACCTCGATCTCGAAGAGGTCATCTTCTGTTGAACCAATTTTAGGCATCAACATTTTGGCGTCGTCTGTGAGAATCTACTTCTTGTTGATTTTTATTTGAGTTTTTTCAACAACAACCACTTGCTCAACCCATGAGTCAAGAGTCCAACCCTGACGTACTCGTCACCCTGGTGCGTTAGGGAAACAAAAGAAGAAATCTAATTGTCTAACTAATATTGAGACCTACCTAAAGGAGATGAGGAAAGACATAAACGAACTTTGAGATCAGAACAATGAGGTCATGGAGGAAGTCGAGATGACCTATATAGGAAGACAACGAAGGCTAGAAGAGTGGCGTTAGGAACTTGGAATCATTGACGCGATGGGCTCTAACGCCTAGGCGAACCTCAACTTGAAAGACATGAAGACGAGGATGAAAGTCATCCTAAATCTCCTGATATAACAAAACATGGGAAGCTACAAACTTTTGAGCCTAGCCTTGAAGGCTCATTCTCCAGTTTCTCTCACATGCAAGCCGAAAGCCAGAAGAACTATCTTGACCTAAGAGACTTACTTGAGAAGAAGAAAGTCAATATGCTCAACCTTGTGATCATGATTGCGAAGTCAACTGTGATCGTGATTGTGAGGTCAATCATGATCATCACTATGAGGTCAATCGTGATCGTGAAGTCAGTAGTCACAATCAGTCTGAAGTACGCCTTAATGAGGACGACTATGCTAGATAAGGTAGAATTTTGGAAGCCATGAAACGGATGCAAGATGATATGGATCGGAAGCTAGAAACCCGTCTAGCAACCCTCGACCGTGAGCGAGGCCCCAGACCACACTATCTGACCATGACAGCTGGCACCTTTGCCACATCCCACATCAACCAACGGAGAGGAGATGATGTGCCTTATATGTACATGCCTGTCTCCACCTAGCACCATGCCTTTTAGGAGCTCACTGGCTTCAGAGTCATAGGAACTTCGAAGTTAAGCGAGTTGGGGCTAGAGCAATCCCAGGATAGGTGATCCACTGGGAAGTTGCTTGTGAGTTCCCAGAAACAAAACTGCGAGGGCATAGAAGGGGCCTAAAGTGGACAAAATCGTGCTACGACGGAATCAATCCCGAGATGTGAAAATTTGGTATCAGAGCCACTATGTTGTGTGGTGCGAGTGTGCCGACGAGGACGTCAAGCCTCTAAGGGGGGGATTGTAACATCTCACATCAACCAACGGAGATGGGGTGATGTGCCTTATATGTACATACCTGCCTCCATCTAGCAAGAGGCTTTTTGGAAGCTCACTAGTTTCGACGTCATGGGAACTCTGAAGTTAAGCGAGTAGGGGCTAGAGCAATCCTAGGATGGGTGACCCACTGGGAAGTTGCTTGTGAGTTCCTAAAAACAAAACCGTGAGGGCAGAGAGGGGTGCCTAAAGCGGATAATATCGTGCTACGGCGGAGCCGATCCCAGGATGTGACAACCTTACCATTCATGAAAGACATTCTTGAATTCAAGCTCTCAAATGATTTCAAACAGCCTAGGATGCGACACCAGAAGGGAAAGATCCATCACGGTTTAATGTAGGGGATAGATGAAGATAAGGGCAAAATTATGTACGTGATAAGCCAAATGATAAGAAAAGGAGATTCGAGACTTTTAGGCGAGGTGGGAGATACCGAGATTAACCTCAAAATATGTACCAACCACGATTTGAGAACTACACCACGCTGAACACTAATCATGAGGAGGTTTTCCTAAACATCCAAGCTGAGCTGCCAAAACCTCGACCTTCATGGTTTACCAAAGGAAAAAATTATCCAAATTGATATTGCAGATATCATCATGAGTACAGTCATGCAACGGACCAAATGTTATGAACTCTATAACGAAATTGAAGCACTAATTAGGCGAGGTTGTTTGATCTCGTTTGTGGCTGAAAAGAAGCAAGTAGAGCAACATGACAACGCATCAGACAAGCAATCTTTAGCTAAAAAAGACGCAGAATAAGTATGCATGACGTACTTAAGATGGGCTCGAGGCACTCTTTATTGGTCCAGGCTATCGCACATAGAAATCACACAAGCTCATGTACTCGGCGATCACCTTTAACGAGGAGGAGGAAAGAGGTGTAATTCATCCACATGATGATCCATTCATAATCCAAGTTGAGATCACCAATTATTTCTTGAAAATGATCTTCATCAACTCAGGCAGCTCGGTCAATCATCTTTGCCCTAGCTATCGAGTAGATAAAGATATCTCGAGAAAGACTTAAGCATGTGTCCACTCCCTTGCTCGAGTTCACTGAAGACAACATTCACTCCATCAAAAGCATCACACTGACTTTGTCACTTGGAATGACAACTCAACAAATAACCGTATACACAACATTCCTAATAGTCGAATGTTTATCGGCTTATAATGTTATTTTAGGTCAACCAGCTTTATGTTCTCTCCGAGCCTTTATTGCTAGACACATTTGATCAATCCAACTTCTTGTTGCATTTGGTCTCTAGAGAATATTTATCCATCTTTGGTAACATAGTGGCTTTGTAATTTTTTATGTTTCTCTTATCAATAAAATATTGTCGCTCTTTATAAAAAATAAAAAATAAAAAATAGATAGTTTGAATCATTAAAATACAATGCATGGTGGGCCCAAAAAGGGTGTCCCTCAATGACCAGAATCCTTCATTACAACAAACAAATCCTTCATTACACTTGGATCACATTAATTGTATCACAGCATGAGGGAAACATGTTCTTTAAGAAAAAAAAATTATTATACAGAAAAGCCCCAAAAATGACCAGAATGACACAAAACTAACAATTATATAGATTGGTACCTCATGTAACACACACATGCCATTGGGTCGCTCTCTCGATACGCGAGGAAAGATGTGCGTCAAATATTAGGGTTTAGGTTTTTCACGTTCAGTCATCATCCCTTCCTCGGCCTAACAACGCTTGTTTTCATCCATGTTCAGTTGTTGTTGCCCTCCTCGACTTGACAACATATAGTCACTTTTCTTCCACGTTGAGTCACTACCATCACTCCTCTCTTCGACTCAGGGTGTTGGCCTCGTTGTTGTCTTTCTCAAAGCTTAGGCGTTGGTTTCGTCGTTATCTTTCTCCTTGGTGTGTTGACGTTTATGGTGATTGCCTTGGTATGATGGTTTCATCTAGTCTACTCTTGCTATTATGCATATCTCCAAGTCAATGGAGGCTATGGTGCAAGCTGCTTCATTGGGGTCCCGTGATCACAGTGGAGGTGGCTTACCTTCAGGAGAAGACGGCCATTGTCCAAAGATTTGGCGTGGGTGGCTCTTCACCTAGGGTCTATGGCTCTGATTCTCCTTTTCATGGTGTTGGGCCAGGTTTTTGGCAACTAGGGTTGTTAGGTACCATCCTTATACCTATCTTTACGGGTTTGGCTGGCTACTCTGCGATGGGGACTTGTCATGTTGGTGTCCCTCCTGACAAACCTATGGAGACTGGCCTAGTGGAGTCTCCTAGGCGCCTTCCTTAATATGTTCTTGGAGCATTCGTGGCCTTGGCATCTGGCGAATGCTCTTGTGCCTGATCCTCGGGTTCATGTTAAGTGGCTAGCCAGCTGTGTTATTATTGTGTGGTGTTTTCTTCGTTCTCCATTTAGTTGATCTTTGATTCTTCGCCTATCTCAAGGGTTTTGTTTGTTCTCCATTTAGTTGATCTTTGATTCTTCGCCTATCTCAAGGACTATGTTTTCATAGAAGGTTTCTTTGTTAGTGTTGAGATGAGACGACATGCTTGGGGCTTTTTTATTTTATTTTCTTTCTGGCCTGTTTGCAGGGTTAGTCTCTTCTTTGTGTTGTTTCTTGCAGATTTTTCTTTTGTCATCGCCAATTGCTATTGGAGGTGGCCGGAGATGGTGTGTTTAGTGGATGTTTTCTTTCTTCTTGGCATATTGTGTTCTTTGTCGGATGCTCTCAATGTCTTGTGGTTGTGCAAATGATTATGATTTCGTAGCAAGACTCTTTTGACAATTGGATTGTGTTGTAGTGTTCTCGTCAGAGTTCTATGTGTCAATTTGCTGTTTTATTTATCTTGCTCTAGCATTGGTCTCGCATGATTGTTTCAAACTCTCTTGTTAGTCCATGACATGTATGGTACTTTTTCCTAACCTAAGGTTTGTCCCTCAAGAAGATTTTAACAATGCCACTGTTTCGTGTTGTTCTTTGTAAGCTACTTTGATTCTATGAATAAATTCCATTCCTAAAAATAAATAAAAAATAAAAACACACACATGCCATTTTCAAATGTTAAAATCTATCCACCCCAGAAAAATTAGAACCAATTAATCTTAGTTAAATAGTAATATTTTTCTCCAAGGTCTTAGAAGACGTCTCAAATAAAATTCATAATTCCTCGTTAAAATAAAATTAAAAATATGACCTATGAAAATAGTCTTCAGACCAAAAAGAAAATTACAACAAAATAGGGTGCTTTTCAGTTAATATTTTGGCCATATTCAAGAAAACAACCTATTTCATTTGCCTATGAAGAGGAAAAAGTGAGCCATGCTGGCTCTGACCCAGAAAAATAAAAAAATTAGATAAACAAAATTAACTGGGCTAACTTCCCAGAGAGGCAAGTAGTTCATATTAATGATTAATCTAACCATGAAATTTTTTAATATCCGACTGACCCAGCAGTTTAACACATCGCATATCACGGGACCAACTATAAAACTGTGTCAAGCATTCAACATCCCAGACAGCTTAACGCAGTTTGACTGAACCTAAGATTTGATCCAGAATGAGTTTTCAAAGACTAGGCTGAAATTAAACTACAACAAAATGGACAGGACTCTATAACTCTGCTACAAAAGGGCTTAGGGACTGCCGGACTCTGAAACGACTTTGTTTTCTTCTCAAAAGGGTAAAGGACAGCAACTGGAACAAACTTACGACAGGAAATAGAACTTGCTGAGCATCGGCATGAGCCACCATTTCAATCATCCGAAGCCTTGGGAGAATTTTCAGGAGTCTTCATAGCCGTAGATGCCTTACCTTTATCTTTATGTGCTGTAACAGCAGTGCGAAATTCCTCAACTATAGAACCATCCTTGAATTTCAAAGCAAAGGTGGAAAGCCCATCCTTCTTTTCATCGATACTGTTCATGCAGGCAAATGTTACACCTTTCTTCTCCATATTTGTCAGCTTCATGTCTGGGTACAGACTAGCATTCAGAATTACCTTTCTAATTCCCTTGAGTCTCATAACAAGTCTCGCCTTTTCAGTCCCAGATTCAGATACATTAACCTTCAGATCTCCCTTACCACGTTCTTTCCAGCCTCCATCAATAAATTCAAATAACGCAGCATCAGCATTGAAAACCGCTTTCTCATTTTCTTCCCCAGTTTCAACCGCAACCTCTTGCATTGGCGGGAAACCACCACCATCACTCTTAGGTACAACTGGAGCCCCTGATGTGCCAAATTTTGAAGAATTTCCATTATTCGAGAGACCAAGACCAGAAGGCTGATCATTATTTGATCCAAAGAGTGAACCAGAGCCAGTACCCAATGTGGAACCATCCTTTGAAATAAGCCCAAAAGAAAAGGTGGAAGTGGAAAACCCAGTTCCAGAAAGATTTGTGAAGGCATTTTGACTACTCGAAAGCTGTTGGAATGAGCTCAAAGAAGTACCTTCCGGACTTGGATCTACATTTTCGTTTTTGTTATCATTGTTATCTTCATTTTCAGTCTTCTCCTCATTTTCAGTCTCACCCTCATTTGTCTTATTTTCTCCCACAGCTGGTTCATGTACAACCTCAGGTTCCGTTGCTTCACCTGAAACTTCAATGTTCTCCTTCACAACATTCTCCTTATCAGCAGCTGATTCAGAACCAACCTGCTCAACCTTGCTTTCTGACTGCTTATTCTCCTCATCTGAAACCCTTATCTCACTGGCAGGTTGTGCAGCAGCTGTAACTTCAGCAGGGACTGTGCTTGCTTCTGTTGGAGGAACCAACTGTATACCAGCAAAAGGATTGGAAGTAGGACCAGATGCTGGCTGCTGGCGGCGAACCTTAACAATTCTTCGGGTTGCCAGCACCTCCTCACTGGCCCTCTTGAAAGTTCCGGTCTCTTCTTCAAGAGCATCTTCTTCATCATCAAGGCCTGGGTTATCTCGAGAGAGTTCCCTTCCAGCAGCTCGCTTCTTAGAAGGTGGAACGGCATTTTCCGAATCCGCCATTGAAAAATGAACCGAGAGAGTTAAATTAAAGAATCAGTCCCTCAACTGTTTGGAAAGCCAATATCTGCAAATCATTCAAAAATTATACTTTTTTGCAGAGCCAAGATAATCAGACAAACAAGGATGCTAAACTCATAGATTATTATTACTACCAAATGCAGAGAAAACTTAATAGGCAAATCCATGTGAGGGACAAACAGCACTGATTAACACAACCACGAATTGCAATACACCAGGTCTAATCAAAGAACCCTTCACATAATAAAGAATCTTAAATATGAACTATTAATGAAAAAATCCGCTACTGTCTATCTCTGTCAGTCAGAAGAGATCTTCAAAACATACAACAGACCAGAAAATACAGGAAAAAAAAAGGGACACCAACTTACGTGTGACAAAGGTAAGGAAAGTTACATTCCATATCACCTAAAAAGTCGACCAAATTTGTCTTACAAAACATCAGAACCTTGATTTCCCCCCATAATGGACTATAAAATGTGACAAGTTTTTCCACAAATTTACCTAAAAATATTACAATTAAGTAAGTACAAAACAATGCATTTTTCTTATCCACTATTGTTCATCACATGCATAGACACAGAACAGAAAAGGCAAATTGAAAGTTAATAAGTACACCAGAAAACATAAGTCAGATACGAATCCTAGTTATGTTTAACTCTAATTTTTTATAAAAAGAAATCAAGGCAATTGAACACACAATCCCCTTCCCCCACCTCTCAAAATAGAAAGAAAAATTACCATTAGGCCAAAAATGACTATGGAGACCTAAAGAGCATAAACTTCGTAAAACCAATACCACAAATAAATCAATAAATTAATATATAATAGGGGTGAGAGTGCTAATAAAAGAATATACAGTACTTAAATGTTAGGAGTGGAGAAGTCAAGAGTAGAACTAATAACAAGAATCTACAGTGCTTAAAAAAAAAAAAAAAAAAAAAAAGAGTTTGTTGAAAACCCTAAGTTCAATAGCACCAGCTGAGTGTGTTTCAGAATACCATGAACAACGATTGAAACTTCTCTTTTATTTTCCGTCAGATTTTCTAATCTTTCACTAATTTCCTCAGACACCAAAGGAGGATTAACAGATAAAACCCTACTTTCCCAGCAAAATCCGAAAAATCTAACGAACTGGGTCATCATGATTCAAAGAAAAAACTATTCAACCAAATCAAGAAAAACACAAGCAACCTAAAAAAAATAACCCAGAAAAAGATAAACAAGTTGCATAACCCACCAAAATAAAATAAAATATAACCAAATATCATGAAAATATGAAACTATATCAGAAGCCCAAGATATCATTCAGTGACTGAGTTTCAAACAAAAAATGAAAACGAGAAATGGAGAATGGACTTGGACTTACCGACAAGCAAAGAGCCGCAGACGAGGCAGCAGAAGCAGAACCTAGAGAGAGATCCAGAAATTAATGGCTGGTTTTTTGAAATTGTGATCTTTTGGGTTTTGGGTTGTGTATGTAGAATGTAATTGAGAAATTGATTGGGAAAGATTTGGATATGGAAGAGTTTTAAGGGTTTCTTCCCCTTTCTGATTGAGCTATGAAGGGGTTTTAATGGTGTGCGTACAGATATTGAAACGACGACACAATTTCTCACATATGGATTTATAGGATTTACATGTAATTTAGGTCATTTTGTGACACGTGGCGTTTAGGGTCGGAAAACCCATTGAAATTGGGCTTCCGGAAAATTCTGGCCCGGAATCAGCATGTCAAGTCAATGAAGCTCTAAAATTTGTTCTCCTCAATTTTTTTTTTTTTTTTTTTTCCCCTAAATCGAAATTTCCCAAAATCTTCAGACTATTAAATTCTATTTACAAAGTGGTCTAATAATGTGACGTCCCTAACATGACCCTATACGAAAACTTTCGAACGCCAAATTTCTTTTTCCTCACATATAGATCGGACCTAAGTTATTGGTAAAAAAATTAGGAGTTATCTAATTTGGTAGCTACATCGCAATGGTAAGCCTATTATGAGGGAGGTGAAGAAGTTATTTTAAATTTCTATTAATAATTGTCGCAGATGAAAAACCAAATTGTTATTTCAAATTCACCTAATTTGGAATCATTCATGCACTGAATTTTTGTTTATTTATTTATTTGGATGATCTTTGATATATATATATATATATATATATATTTATTTATTTATTTA